TGTAAAAACTAAAAGCGATAATGTGGTGTACCTCAATAGTGTTGGTGATTACCATGGTTTGTTACAAGATTGATGGAAGTCGACATACATTTTAAATTATAGAAAGTTACCTTGATAAGAATTGATGTCATTTAAATCAAGCCCCCAATGTTGGATCACTCGGGAAGATTAAGTCAGGCTTAGCCCCCAATGTCATATTCTAGATTGGTGAATTATCTACAAGAGCATTCTCATACATACCAACTCGTTTGTTAATTATTCATGAAATGATAACAAATAACATTATCCACCATATGTATTCGATAAAGCGTTAAACATTCATAATTACATTAAGAATGAACCATTATCAAAGCATCGACAGTTAATCAAAGTATAATGATCAAAGCGTCAAAAACTAAGGAAAAATAATCATAATAGCCAAAGCGTGATGTATCGAAGCATCAGGGATCAAATAACAAAATTTAATCAAAGCATTATATTGATAATCAGACCATATTATCTTGCCCCCTAGTGGCAAATTCATGAAAAAAATGCAAACAATATGGAATGAAGTTAGCCACAAAATATAATGTTACCGTCAACTTGTTGTTGTCGACGACAATACTCCGATGTTACAATCAATTAACGTTATAAATCTCCACCTGTAACCTTACTTTATCTAAAAATACGCTTGGTACGACATAAATTAGTCATGATAAAATATAAAAATCTAAGCGCTACATAAGCTAATGTCATGAGTTATAAATAAAAGTCAATGAAATTATTTTTAGAATCGAATAGTCTTTAGTAATAAATCTGAATTTTGCATTTAGGCAAAAGCTTACTTGCATCGTCGTTTAAAGCTACATTTGTCTTAATGTTGTCGTCACTTACTGATGATATTAGGTTGTTGACGACGTTACTAACTGGCGCCGTCGAGACTAATTGACGTCGTCGTCGACACTGGTTGTCGTCGTCGAAGCTGACTGTCGTCGTCGGAACTAACTGTTGTCGTCGAAGCTGACTGATGTCGTCGGAATTGAAGTCCGTCGAAACTTTAATACTGTTTTATTTAGCGACAACATAGCCTAAAAATAATGTTAGTTAAACAAAAAATAATATTGTGAATGACGACAAATCCTGAATTTTTATGGCATCATGAGACCCATGACTTAAAGCAATGGTTTCCACGACGTCCTTCCCTTTAGGGTGTGACGTTTACTTTGATGGTGATGATATAGTCTGTCATAGCTTAAAGATGACGCAAAAATAGTTAGTTAAATTAAACCACAAGGAGGAATATTACCAAAACTTTTAAGGCTATCAAAGATAATCGTCCTTGTCGCAGCATATTGAGTTAAGTTGGCGTCGATCACCACTTCTCGTCGTCGGGACCACGAACATAGTTCTTATAAAGTCACTTTACGGGATTAGATAAATCTTGATGATGGGAATGTGTTTGAATGTGTTTGGAAAGGAACTTTTGTAGGGTTGATATTTCAATCTAGTTGTAGCCCCACGGTGGGCGCCAAATTGTTTATGCTAAATTTCGTCAAGTAGGATTTGATGTGGGATACGGGCTACGGATCAACTAAATTAAAATAAGGAATGTTGGATGCGGAAAATAAATGACGGAAGAAATAAAGAAAGAGAGGGGAGGCACGATATGGTGACGCGGAAAACCCCAATGAAGGTGGGTAAAAACCGCGGGTGGCAATGAGGCCACCAATCCACTATAATACGGGCATATAGCCAATGATTACAAATACAAGATGTATTTTATGTGTACAAACTACGACGTAGATAAATATAAATATACGAAACACATTGCTTTAATAGCATAGCAAAAGGGTAACTGACACATTTGTAGAAACTAGCTTGTATTGTAGTCGTGCTTTGAGGATTTAAATATAGTAGCTTTGCTATACTTTTGGTGGTGGAAGGTCTAGGTGGCATACTTGCTGTGAGGAAAGCAATGGGTTGTCATGGGGAGGCTTAAGCTTATTATACATTGTGGAATATCTATGTGGCAGAAGGTGAATAACTTGTTTTGTTCATCATAATGGCTACGGTTGATTTGTGGCATTGTGAGGAAGGCTAAGGATGCCTGAAGTAGAAGTATTTGAGGTTAATCGTAGATAAGTGGGGCAAATTATGGAGAAATGGGATTGCATAGTGGAAGTATTGTACGTGGAAATGGAGTGGGTTTAATGAGAGTAAGACTTCTCTATTTATAAGGCATTTGAAAGGTGGTTGGAGGATAGTAGGGGTGAACTCCTTGAAAGTAGGAGGTGGCGGTTGACATCTTTACTTGGTCTTTCGAAGAACTGGACTTCATTAGGGAGTACATACATCGTAACAACCTTGAGTACTTATTCTTGTTGACCTATTATTTCTCCTTGACTTTAGGGACCACTACTAAATATCTTGACATGGTCTTGTATATCTTGGTCTTGAATGTCAATATCGGTCAACAGTTGTACAAAATGTCCCATAACAACCACTACAAGGTCACATAAATCCAGCAGTCAATTTGTCACTCAAACTTGCTTCATCAAAAAACTTCACCATCACTTTCTTAACCTTTGAGTTCCTTCACCAAGATTTAACTCGAGCCCATCCCTATATAGACACCCATATCGATATATTTTCTCAAGAAAAACAAGGGCCCAATGGGGTTGACATTCGATATCGGGTGTTTTCCGATGGGCTGCCCTTGAAGTTTGATAGGACGGGCAAGTTGGACGAGTACCTAGAGTGGTACATGAGTGGTGGCATGTTTGACCAAGTAGAGAAGGAAATTGAGGAGGTAGTGTTAAAGTCAAACCCTAAAGTTGATGTGTTAATTATTGATACATTTTATCCTTGGGCCTCTAAGATTGCTAAGAAGTTTGGGCTTCGGTTGGCTTCGTTTTGGACTGAGCCTGCTTTGGTTTTCAATCTTTATCATCATGTTCATCTACTTAAGCTGCATGGCCACCTTGATTGCTCTGGTAATCCTTTCTATCTCTATCTAATTATATAGATCCATTGCTTAATTTTTATGCAATTTTTACATGATTGTTTTTTTAAGGATAATTTTTCGGATTATTTAACAATCCAAACCCAAATTAGGTGGAATATATTATCACGAAATATGCATCAAGAACCAATAACTGTCCTCATATTATATAAGCTTTTTCGATGCATTGTGTCCCCACTCATGTGCACACATTGCACTATAAGACTACTCCTAGCTAAACATGCTTAACAATCAAGTATTTTATTAGCGTGCGTTTTGTAAAAGAACATTGTTTCCTACTCCGTATTAGTGTGATTACTTTGTCAAATTCTTTACTATAAAGCAGTCATGAGAAGTATTACTCGTCTTAAACTAGCATACGCCCTTACCATGTGCCTATGTGGTTTCTACTCTCTAGAATGGCCATTGTAACAATGACATATTCTTCTAATTTCAAATGTTACCAAAAATTGAGAATAGGACTAACTACTACTACTACCACATATACTGATATTTCAATTTTTCCTTGCTATTAATGACAACTAGATACTCGGAAAGATCCAATTGATTACATACCAGGTGTACAATCAATTAAACAACATGACCTAATGTCATATCTTCAAGACAAAGACGTCTCAACAAACATGCATAAGCTAATTTTTCAGGCATACCAAGATGTTAGAAAAGCGGATTATGTGCTATGTAACACCGTGCAAGAGCTCGAGTCGGACACTATCTCAGCCCTACAAGCTCTCATGCCTTTTTACGCGATTGGCCCAATTTTTCCACCCGTGTCACCGGATAAAGCCGTGCCAACAAGTCTCTGGACCGAGTCCAGTTGCTTAGAATGGCTAGGGTCTATGCCTAATGGTTCAATTTTGTACGTGTCATTTGGTAGCCTAGCTAATTTCTCAAAAGATGATGTTACGGAAATTGCTTATGGTCTTATTGAAAGCAATGTTGATTTTGTTTGGGTGCTTCGCCCACGTACGGTGCTTCACGAGGCTGATCATCTATTGCCCGTTGGATTCGAGGAAGTTGTTCGTGGCCGTGGGATTGTTGTTCCTTGGACCAATCAAATCGCGGTTTTATCCCATCCGGCCATTGGTGGGTTCCTAACACATTGTGGTTGGAATTCTGTGTTGGAAAGTGTATGGTATAAAATTCCGATGTTGTGTTTTCCAATATTTACTGATCAATTTACTAATCGAAAATTAGTGGTTGATGATTGGAAAGTTGGGATTAATTTTGGCAATGGACAACCATTGAAAAGGATGGAGATTGCATCACAAATTAAGAGATTTATGAGTAAAGAAAATGGAGATGAATTGAGGGAAAATATTGATGTTGTAAGGAAAATATTAGGAAATGCATTAGAAGATGAGGGATCTTCAAGCAAAAATATAGATCTATTTATTGAACAATTGATTTAGTTAAGTAAATGATGAAATTGTTGGATATGTAACTTTTTCATATTTTAATGATAGGATTTTGATCTATTGTTGTTACAAGTTGTTTTTCTTTTGTTTTCTGTTAAATATAACTTTTCCTATGTATGTTTTCTCTAATGGTTTACATATATTTTTCCTTTAACAGTCGATAAGAAATGTTGTTTTGAATATATCACGTATCGATGATGGTAAAATTTAGTGTGAATTACTGATAGGATTTACCATCCTTAGCTTCAAAATACCCTATTAGTAGTATTTTGATTTAACCTCCCTTGTTTATTTATTTAACTATCACAAAAACGCAAAACTTATGCCCTAAATTATACCCTTGTAAATACCAAATTGGCAAATTGCCTATATACATAAAAAGCAACTTCCCATGTTCTTGGAAATTTAATCATTACATGAACCTAACTTTTAAGAAATAAGTCATCAATCAATTGCATTATCTCTTCTTTTCTCTCTTTTACTAGGTCAAGTTAATAATATTAGTACTCCATTAAACAATTGAATAGAAAAATTAAAACATAACATAAATAAAATTGATCATGTAGCTTATTCCTTCAACATTAACAAAAAACAAATGATGATGATGATATTATTTATTAGATTATATCCTGCTGCATCATTCCTAATTAATTAAGAACCTTATTAGGAGAAGCAAGCCCATAGCCCCATATATCATACTAATTATATTGATAGTTTATTTAGATAATTCTCATACAAGTCATATTCATAACATAATCAATTACTCATGGAGGGTTCATCCTCAATAAAACTCTCAATTTGGTGGCATAATGATGGTTGTGTTCTCAATCTTGTCCATGAACAATTCGCAAAACTTGGGAGTAACATTGAGAGAAGCTTGTAGTACTTGAGGAGACATGGTTTTCCAAAATGACATGTTTCCGGCTATTTGAGCGAGTCTAGGCCTGCATCATCAACAACCACAAATATATAGTTACGCAGTGATATGTTCACCTTATTTTCACTTATTTCAGGTCTAATATGTTAAGATAAGTTCAATAAAGTTAAAATTAGTTTTGATAAGTTCAGTTCAAGAAAAATAAGTCCAATTCAAAAATAAGTTCAATTCACAAATAAGTTCTGTTTATCTTACTTGGAAGTTGTCACAATAGAGAAACATTCGATTCCTTCATCACCAGCACCAACTGCGATCACATGAAACTTTGGGACAGCAAACAACTGACCAACCTCTAATTTGGTGTCCAATGCAATTTGTCCATTTAATCCCACAATTTGAACCCAACCACTTCCTTTAGTAACATAACTTAGCTCAACCCCTGATTCTTGTGCATAGTAAATCGGTCCAAACATTGCATTTGGATCAAGCTTCAAAAGCCTACCACAAATCTTAATTCCTTCAAGTGTAGATTGCTTTTCACTTGTCAAAAATCTTATCGATCCCCCATTTTTAACTTGAAAATCGGGTTTAACCTCGTCGAATTCAATAGTCAAATCATAGTTGGATGGTTTAGGCATGGTTAACCCTTGTTCAAGCTTCAAGATCAAAGCTTCTTTTTGGGAACCAACTAGTTCATTCACTTGTTCGTCGTTAATGTCATAAGCTTTGGCTATAGTTTTGTTCGAGAAGCCCTTTAAAATTCCGATGGCTCCGGCTAGTAGGCCGTAAGTGAAGTTACCCGGGTTGATAGCGTTATGTGTTTCACCTAAGTATATGATGTTGAGTTCATCATTTCCGGCGTTGAACCACCACGAAACAACACCTTTTGGGACGACTATTGTGTCTCCTTTTTCGAGCTTGACTACCTTCTCTTCCTTAGATTCGGGGTACATTATACCAGCTACCCCATTTGAACCTGTGCAACATAATGGATCACATCGATCAATATATTTTCTAGAGTACTATCTAAAATAGAGTACACTAGATGAGACTGTCTCATGTTTCCATGATTGTTCGGGAAATGTTGATTTTATTCCTCTAATAGTATAAATGTGGGCTCTCCGATTGGAGTTTCATTCTAACCGGAAAACAAAAATGTACTGAAACCCTAATTTTTAAAATTTTTGTGATTTATTTTTGTAAAAGAAATCTACTTTTCTCATCCTACTACTTTTCATAATCATTCTCACATTAAAAAAATTTTCTTCCAATTCTACGTGTGATGATCACTGTGATGTCGCAATTATTAATTACCAATTATGTGTTATGGCTACTTGTTACAACAGGTCATTGACCCCTCGATAACCGATTGAGACTATGGGAGGAAAAAGTATATCTAAGGGCTTGTTTGGCATCGTTTTTTATTTTCAGTTTTTAGATTTTTTTGAAAACAAAAAACCAAAAACAGGAAAAAAAAAACAAAAAACGGGAAAAAAAAAACAAAAACAGGAAACAAGAAAAAAGGTGTTTCCACTTTTCTGTTGTCAGTTTTCAAAATTATCATGTTCTTAATAAATTTGACTAATTTTTTATTCATTATATTACATATATCATATGATTTTGGAAAAAAAATACCAAAAAACAGAAAACCACAGCGATGTCAAACGAACCCTATTAAGTAATTCAGATTGTAATCAAAAGTTTGGATTATTTAAAGTGAATATCTCAAACTTGAGATTATTAAAGTAATTTTTTTTCAATAATAAAACCTAATTAAACGAGGCAAATGACTTATAATGTTATTCGTAAGTCCATTCCTTAAATTTGTACAGACCTTTATTGTGGGGACAATTGATGTAATTATCAGGTTAATTTATGAGATGTTCTACAGAGTAACCCAATAGAGTCTTTCTCTTTACCAACCAAGAAAAATGTTCCTTAAATTTTTAGAATTCTGGCACCACTTTCTTAATTACGGAGTAGTACGGATTTAAATTCTGGTACCACTTTCTTAATTAGTACCCCAAACTAATTAATACTCCGTAAGATTGGATGGTTTAATTTTTACACTACGCTTTTAATTTAATGCATGAATCCTCTTCAATAACGTCTCAACAAAATCCCCGTCAAAATAAAATAAAAAAATAAAAAATAAAAAATAAAAAATAATAATAATAATAAAAAATAAACGTCTCAACAAAATCGGAACAGGATGATCCGACCATTTGGATTTAGCATGTGCATTGGGTGGTATACTAGACCGCTAAATTAATGTTGCTATGACTTTGCTAGCGGTGATAATTTTATTTATTTATTTGTTATTTTTTTTACAATTATATACAATTATATTAGCGGTGATAATTTGGCTAAAACGTATATACAATCACAAATTTTTGTATGCGGCAAGGGTTAGGGTGTTACCGGTTTTATCAGGGGTTACTTATAGGTATTACTTGTATTCTGACATTTCTGGGGTTACTTATAGGTGTTACTTGTATTCTGGCATTTCTGGGGTTACTTGTATGAGTGTTACTGGTTTTGGTCAGGGGTTACTTATAGGGTGTTACTGATTTGGTATGGGATTTTGGTCTTGGGTTACTTGTAAAAGTTACTCAGAATACAAATAACACCTACAAATAACCCATACAAGTAACCCTAATATACAAGTAATCTATATGGCAGAATACAAGTAACACCCTATAAGTAACCCATACAAATAAGCTCAGAATACAAATAACACCCTACAAGTAACCCCTATCGTACCATGTGATCTGCTGCACTGAAAAACTTCTGATATACAATTATAATTTGATGTGTAAAAAAAGAGTTATTAGGCTATAATTTTTTTACCAAATTTTTACTTATATGAACTTATCTTATTCAATATAGTTGGAAATGCAAATCTTTAGTTCTACAACTCTATATTGCCATTATTTGAATTTATTTTTCTTAAAATTATCTTATATGAATTTATTAATAATAATATGTATAAACTTTAATATATAATATTTTCTAAATTAAATGAGCGAGGCATTAATTTAACAAAATAATAATAATAATAATAATAATAATAATAATAATAATAGAAAAAAGAAAAACAAAATATAGAAGTAGTTAATAGAATGATACATTCTTACTCAAAAAAAAAAAAAAGAAAAAAAAAAGAATGATACATTCAAATGAAAAAAAAATATAGAATATAATCATAAAAATATAATATAGAAGTAGGTAAAAGAATGAAGAGAGTGATTAAATAAAATTGTTACCTTGAAGAACATAACCAATCTTACTACAATCAGAATAATGAGGGAAAGCAAACCCACGAGGCTTCATCATAATTCATAAGCAAGCCACCACTAACCTGCCCTGCACCTAGAAAGGGGAATACGACGTCGTTCCATGCGTAGTAGCTTCCCCCTTCTCCATCGGTGAGCTTTTGGGGTAACTCTAATGGCACCAAACTCATATTTTCCATATTTGAATGAAAAACAAAAAGGATTTAACTTTTTTCTTTTTTTTTTAAAAAAAAATATATGAAAAACGTATATTGATATGGTATCTCTATTTGTAAGCCCATATATATAGTGGAAATCTTATAGCCATGTATGTATAAGGGGACTTGGTGTCATGGGTGATTCAATCATTTTATGATTAAAAATAATTGATACAGTCAAACTTAATATACATGGCAATAAATTAGTTTAACAAGAGTTGGCAAGTGTGTCATGTTGGGTACGTTTACGTGATAGAAGTTAAACAAGTTGGAAAACCTTAACACTAACACAACCCATTTAATGATTGTGTGTGTCATGTTGTGTCGACCAATTTAATTAAATAAACTAGTGTTAGGCCTGGGCGATGCCCAGAGTTATTGCATTATTTCCATGACAAAAATCTTTATTAATATTTTATTTTTATTGAATGACATGTAATATGGTAATAGCTTAATTTAGCGGCTAACACGTTGTAAATTTAAACTTGAGGTTGTGAGTTCAAATCTTGTAAGAACCATGCCACGTGGCACCTAAACTTCATTTGAAACGCCTTGAGGAGAGCGCCACGTGACATATTAACTTCTTTAGGAACGCATTTTAATATATAGTATAGATGTGTCTGATAGCTAGAGTATATAAACCAATTATAGGCTTCAACAGTTCAACCATCAACTTAGGGCCTGTTCTCATTGGCTGAACTCAGCTGAACTGAACTGAACTGAATTGAGCTGAACTGAACTGAGCTGAGCTGAGCTGAACTGAATTGAATTGAACTGAACTGAGCTGAGCTGAACTGAATTGATCTGAAATGATTATTTTATAAGAGAAGGAAATTAAGAGCTGAACTGAAATGAGCTGAACTGAACTGAACTGAACTGAATTTCAACGTAAAAGAACATGCCCTTAATCTTTTCGTTAAGATGACGCAAAACCCTTAACATTAATATGTTATTTTCATGTTCGGTTGGTGTTATCGAATTTCTGGCAAGCATTGATAAAAGTTATTCTATTTTCTACCAAACTCTTATAATAGAATTTTGGGTTAGAAGAGAATCGATAGAGATCGAAGCCATGCACAAATTAAACAAACAAAAAAAAAAAAAAAAAAAAAAATCCTTAACCCAACTATTTTTTTTTTTTTTTCAAACCTACTTACCCACGCCATTAATGACAATAACAACTCACTAATATCTTTGCCTAACGGAACGAATTTATGACATTAGATAAACCATTATGACATTATTGGAGCTTGAGGATACTTCGATCCATACCTCCAGTTTTACTGTATACATTTATAATTTGGCCTGGATCGTTCTTTTCTATTTTTAATTATTGAGGGGTACTATATATGTGCATTTAAATATTTAATCATGTTGTTATCAATGATTCAGTGTTAATGTGTAGTATGGTGTTTTTATTTATATTTTAACTAGCCTTTTGACCCATATGATACACGGGTTATACTTAGATTTTTTTTTTTTTTTTTTTGACAACAACAGAAAGAAAGAAAAAAGAAAGTAAAACCAAGCTAAAATACATCAAAGCCAATAGAATTAGAAAAGTTGTTTAAGATAGCCCGATACTGGTTAGTTATACGGTGGGGGTGGTCAACGTCTACTCTGTCAACCTTGAGGATGATGCAATGTTGGAAGGAGCTTCCAATTTTAATAATATCCTTCCAAATCCAGTAGATGTGGATATCCAAGGTCTGTCTGCTTCTAAGCATTGTAACAAGAGAGGCACAGTTGGTTAAAATTTTGATTAGATTATTTTATTGTACTTTATATCAGAGTGAGGGATAGTTCAAGTAGTTAGAGCTTCCCTCCCGATTCAAGGAGATTTTGGGATAAATTCTCACCCCGTCCTTAAAAAAAATAATTATATTTTATATGTTTATGTAATATGCACTAATTAAAGACCGAATATGAGAATGAATATGTACTACATACTTTATTTTAAGTTTGGGAGATGAAAAGACTGAAACTTTACTTCATTATAGTGGAAAATGAAACACTTTATTTTTTTTTACTTTAATTTGTAAGTTGTTGAATGCATAAAGACTTGAACATCTTAATATTAAGAGAGGTAACATGTGGCATATGAGTAATTTGTAGTGATTTGCGTGTGAGATGTGGCATATGAGTAACTTGTGTTTGTATTTTTATATACTAAGTATAGATAGATATAAAGTATAGATATAAAGTATAGATATAGATATAAACGAAATGTTTGTAGGAGATATAACACTCGTTAGACTAGATATCAGTGGCGGATCCAGGATTTTCGAACTCGTGAGTCACCATCAATAACTGATCACTTGTTTCAATCCAAAAATTATATATATGTATATATAAAAAATATATTTCACCAAAATGATTTCAATCCAAAAATAGGACATAAAAATCCATACTACAATAGTACTTAAAAATTCAATCTTACAAGTCGAAAGTACGTACTCCAAATAAATAACATGTTACAAACAAATAGTACTATAAAATTATTACATTAAATTAACTTTATTGTACAAGAATTATTAAAAAATTATACGGAGTACACAAAAAAAAAAAAAAAATAGTGAGATAACTTAAGAGACCTGTTATTAAATATAACAGGTCTCTTTAATGAAAAAAGCAGCGCAACAAATATTCATATACAATGTTAGCAGAAAAGAGACATGTTATCTAAATAACCGGTCTCTTTGTTATTTAAAAAAATCTGACAGTGTTAGGCAGCAATAGCAGAAAAGAGACCGCCTATCTATAATAGGAGGTCTCTTTGATATTTTTTTTTTTAAAAAAAAAAAATCAATTTTTTTGTTGGTGAGTCACGTGACTCACCATGCACCTACATAGTTCCGCCCCTGCTAGATATGTTGTGTCGTGTCGATTGACTCATTTAATCAAATATATCTACGGAGACCCCTTGACACTAGCCCACTTTTGATAGTCATTTATGCCATTTTTTGTTAGACTAGATATATTGTGACACTCGTTAGACTAGATATGTTGTGACATGTCATGTTATTTTGTTATATTAAAATTTTATAAATAAATTTAGCCTCCTTCAAAAAATATAGTCCCTTCGTCCCCTTTTGATAATCATTTATGTCATTTTTGGTGACCCAAAATGTTAGTCACATTTGTTTTTTTTCAAGTACCATTAATATATTTTTTTTTACCAAAATTCTCTCCCATTTGAAAAAATATTTGTGCAAATTTTACTTTCCCACGTACTTTAATTACTTTTTTTCTCCACTTTTTTTTGCATACCCAATGTAAATTTACTTTTTCAATATACTTTTGCTACATTTTATTTATGTTTATTAATTCCCGTGATTTTCTACTAAAAGTGACTATCAAAAGGGGACGGAGGGAGTAATCATTATTGATACATAAAATTGGTCATCATTTTTCTTAACACTAGTGAGCTGACTCGTATTGGGTTCTCAACACTAACTCGAATTGTTCGTGCTTAAAAAACAAGTATAGGTCGTAAACCCTTGACAATATTTTGTGTTTGTGTTTGGTTCATGTCGTTATGTCATATCTTATGTGATAGATAGGTTGTAAAAAACATGGTGATTGAACTATTGTAGGGGTGTAAATGAGTCGAGCCAAGCCGAATACTATCTTGTTCATGTTCAAGTTTATTTAACTTGAGCGCGTTCAGTACACGATCTTGTTGAGCTAAAAAAATATGTTCAAGCTCGACTCATTTAGTACAATGTTATATGTTCAAGCAAATATGTCATTGATTAATAGGTATGCGGTTCAAGTCAACACCAATCAACGCCTAACCTAGTATTGTTATCAAACGTTGCACAATTCATACAAGCAAGAACATATAATCAGTACCATAATACATTAATACTACGTTATTTCATGATGTCTAGCCTCAATTAATTAATGTGCCTCTAGCTTGCTAGTAAAATTAACTTTTTTTTTTTTTTAATTTCATGATGTCTAGTAAAATTAACTTAGTTGATAGTTTGATACTACATTGTCCTTCTTTGGTACACATGTTAGATAGTACGAGTACCAATAAACGAGTATTGTATACTACGTATGTAATTTTATATACGCATGTAATATAATTTTATGTTCGCTTTCCCTCCTACTAGCCCATATAATAATAAATCAAATTGAAGCGAACATAAATGAATAAGCACTTTGATGCCATATGTAATTTTATATACGTATGTAACATGATTTTATTTATATATGGAAATAAAAGGACATATTATGCACACAAAAATTATTAACGAGTACTGTATAAATCAATGATTATATCATTTAAGAAGCTCTTCTTTGCGACCAGCATCCTCCAACTCTCGCAAGCCACCAACTTTTTGTTCAATTTCTTCGATTAGCTCCTCGCGCCATAAAGCCGCTCTTGCAGATTCTTCTATGTCTTCTTGCTGCATTATCATGTTTTCAAACATTATTAACACAGTGGGTTTTGTGTGCCGCTAGTCACACCACGTGAATACTTGTAAAAGAACAAAATAACCCCTATAAAATTGATCCGGTAATCCCTATAACACTGATAAAGTAACCCCTGTAAAATTAAACGAGTAATCCCTTAATACACTAACAAAGTAACCCTTATAATAGTTGGTCACACGATGTGTCCAACCACATATGAATTTGTGTTATTAACATGCATGCCAACAATTCATTACATGATAGATGTGGTTTGTGGTTGTTACATGATAGATTTTACGTGGTTTAATCCTACAATCATTTTCAACGTGTTATTTTAAAAAAAATATAATTTATGGTCTAATACGGTTTATAGTTGAGGCTTAAAGGCTTAAACCACATTCAATGCAATTTTTTTTGGCAAAGTATGATTTCTGATAGAGTTATGAGAAAGAGAATGTTGGAAAGCTTGATTATATTGATGAATATAGACGAGTATATATAGTACAAGATTAGAACATTGAACATACCAAACTATGACTAGATACAATATGTGACTAGCTACGTTAGCTAATTATAAGGGATATACTTTGACTATCAAAATTAAGGAGTAAATCAAGGAATTTACATATTCTAAATAATGATAATGATGATATAATCATCTTTATCCTTTATAATTTCTATTTATTTGTCGCACCTTATCGTTGCAAAATTCTATTTCGCCAAAATTTAAACTATACCACAATTTTCAATTCACAATTTGCAAATTGCACCAAATCATTAAAAAGGGTTCAACTTGCAATTTGATGTCGTTGGAGTATTGGACCAAATAATTTAATACGAAGTAATAATAATATGAATTGAGTTTTTTTTTTTTTTTTCCCCAATTGAGGGTAGAAGGCAAAAAGAAAACAAATTGCAGAACACAAATTCTTATATGTGGCAAGTCACATGGTATGGTCACTTTACATATAAGATAATTAATTAAGTAATAGGAGGTCGTAATGATGAGCAAATGGGGTTACCTTGACATATATGGATTACTTAAATAAGAAAAAAGGGTTACTCTCCCACATAAGTGGAATAATTATTTCATTATTCAAAAAAATAAAATAAAATAGGGTTTACTTGTTTCTAAACTGGTTGATATTACTCTTATAATGAATAGGAGTTATTTAGATGGACAAAATAAGGTTACTCTTGTGAATAAATAGGGTACTTTATACTTCCTCCGTTTTTATTTAATTGACGCATTTGATTTAGGCACACATATTAAGGAGAGGAGAGAGAGTGAGAGAGAATGAAAAGCAAGTGGGGTAGTTTTTAAATAAAAGGTAAAAAAAATTACCCCTAAAGAAAACATGTTAACTAAAAAAACTTCCTAAAAAGGAATACGTGTCAATTAAAAAGAAACGGAGGTAGTATATAAATAAAAATTATTTTTTATAAGCCAATGCGGCCACACCGTGTAGCTAACCACATACAAGACTTAGGGCCTGTTCTCATACGATTATTTTCAGTTAAGTTCAACTCTAATAAGTTCAGTTCAGTTCAGTTCGGCTCTAATTAGTTCAGTTCAATTAAGTTCAGCTTCTAATTTCCTTTTCTTATAAAATATTCATTTCACTTTAGTTCAGTTCAGTTCAGTTCAGCTCAGCTCAGCTCTAATAAGTTCAGTTCAATTCAGTTCAGTTCAGTTCAGTCAATGAGAACAGACCCTTACTGATTTTAAAAATAAACTCAACTAGCCTATCAAAGAGGCACAAGGCGTGGAAAAGCAACACCTTGAGCATCCTCGCTAAGAATCCTACGAAGCTCCGAAGGATTAGAAGATTAGAAGTATGAGCCGCCCCTTAAATAGAAAGCCAGTTAGCCTGAGAAAATAAATCAGACTAATGAAGTACTCCGTTCTAAGTTATTCTTTCAATGTGTATGCTGTACTGTATAGTCAATTACTAAGTTATTCCAAGAACCTAGCTAAAACATGGTAATGGATAATAATAATTTTTAAAAAATCAAAATGAGAATATACTATGTTACCTTCTCATAGACCCAATGCCCCGTTCCATCGCCTCCATCACCCCTGTATTGCTCTGAATCATAGTATGGATCCTGCACAACACGTCAGTCCACAATTCCATATGATCATTATTGACAAACAATAAGTGGTGTAAATACGTGTCTATGCTAGATCGATCCCCATTTTCACATGTGGAATAGAATATGTCCTAAGCTTTAAATGTTACGATTAATATATGGAAATTGATTTTAACACTCCTTTATCTGAGAAGAGCATAGAAAATCGTGGTCTCACATAGAGGTGTGCCAAAATCATTTCCCGTAATATATCTACCCTTGATATTATTTAGTATCATAATAACTCCTAAGTCCTAACCATTAAAGTAAAATTGCCTATGGAATAAAGAAATATAGAAAGTACTTACTTTAGTAGCTCCAAAGAAACAACATCCCCAACAAGTGAACATGACATAAAAAGTGTCTAGCATCCAAAACAAAATTCAAACATTATGTTTAGAAATTAGAAAAATTAGATTATTTGAGAATATCAAAAAAATAAATAAAAAACGAGCAAGTGAATTAATATAACCTAAATTACTTACAAACATTTTTAATGGCATTATCACTTAAGTGCCAAATTGATTTGTGAGTTATGAGTTCTCTTTGTCCTTCAGCATGCTGAACTAAAACTGCCATTAAAGGCAAGTCTGGCAAAGCATTTACTTTACCAACATAGCCTCTTCCACTTTTTTCAACCTTATTAATTCAAATTGACATTTAATTAATATGCAAATAATTAGATTAATTTATTATCAAAATATAAAATTAAAGTTCAAATCTTTATACAACTATACATAAATTGATATCTATAATTACCTGGTGACATAGCCCATTGCCAAATTTGGAGATTGAACATTGTTTAAGCTGCAAATTAAACATAAATAGGTGTTAATGATGGTAATTAAGAGTTATTTTACAAAGAGGGTGATGATATGATTAAATTACCAGCAATCTAGAAGAATTATTGTTAATTGTGTTTGAATTTAGTGGGTGGGGTGAAGAACAGTTAAGAGATATGGGCTTGGATAAGGTGAAACTCATGACAGCCTCTACCATTTTTTTCAGAAATAATTAAGATGTTTATTACTTTGGTGTTGAAATGTGTAACACTTTTTTTTTTTTTTTTCATGGGATGGAATTGGATAAGGCAACCTCTTCCACTCATGTTTCATTGTCTCTCTTCTTCTTGGAGGGTAATTTAAGTTAAAATAAAAGATTATGTTAAGACCCTAGCTTTTTTTTAAAAAAAAAATATTTTTATTTTTAATTTTTTATTTTATTTATATGAATTTTCTCTAATGATCTTAAGGGTTTGTTCTTATTGATTAAATTGAGCTGAACTGAACTGAACTTATTAGAGCTGAAGTGAAATGAACTAAATATTTTATGAAAGAAGAAAATTAAGAACTGAACTGAATTGAACTGAACTGATGAACTTATTGGAGCTTAACTGAACTGAAAATAATCTGAAGAGAACATACCCTAATTCATCCTAAACGATCCAAATTATTTTTCACATAAGAAATTATATAATTTTAGTTATACTAAAAGTAAGACTATTTTTTTGCCCTTAAATGGGAAGATGAGTAGAAAATGTCAAGGCATGTAATATACATGTACATTTAAATGTTCATCATTTTCTATGTACATGTTTGGTTGACTCTTATGAAAGACACGTTTACAAGACAAATTAATAAATGGTCATAATGTGTATCAGATTTACAACGTTTTCTCTCTTTATTCTTTAATGGGATAATAAGGTTAGCTAGTTATAAAAGTCAATGAATTCCACTAACCATTAAATCAACATACAAGGCTATTTAGTTTATACACGATACATGATTCTAAGAGCATTTGCAATAATTTATAGGGAGTACGAAGTATGAAGGGATTTTAAGGTTACTTTTTTTTTTTTTTTTTTTTTTTGGGCAAAAGGATGTTTTGGAAAATTGGCTCCAACATTACTAATACAACTTCCCCCAAAATTAGAAACAAGAAAGCAGGATATATTTTTTGAGAAACTTAAAGATTGTAATAAAAATAAAAAACACAGTGATATTAACAAATGGCCCATTAGCTCAGCTGGTTAGAGCGTCGTGCTAATAACGCGAAGGTCGCAGGTTCGATCCCTGCATGGGCCAAAATTTTTGATATTTTTGGCAATTAAAAAAAAAAAAAAAAAGAAAAAAACCAAGTTTCCCAGAAATAGTGGCGTATTTTAGCAGAAGACTTGTAAATTGTAATGGTTCCGTTAACCGCAAAGTTCACGCCATCACAAAGAATTTCCAACTACCAAAATTCACCTAATTTAGTAATTTAATTTTCCTGTAAAACCAATTTTTTCTAATAAACTCCATTCCTTTCAATATTTCATTATAAAGCTTCAATATTTGAAGAAATAGTTTCGATTTTTAATCCAAAGCTTCGATTTTTGAAGTGAAAGTTTCCATTTTTGAAGAAAATTGTTGCAAAGAAAATGGATTTATTTGATTTAGAAAAGAACTTTGCATTTTATGCTGCATATCATAGCAACCCAGTTAATATCTTTATTCATATGCTATTTGTTTGGCCAATTTTTTGTACTGGGCTTATGCTACTATACTTTGTACCCATGTTGTTTTTCCCTAATTTTGCACTATTTTTCACTATAATATATGCTGTATTTTATGTGGGTATGGAAAAAAAAAGCAGGGTTTTTGGCTGCTATTCTCTGTTTCCTCTGTTGGATTGGAGCTTCTGCTTGTTCTACTCAGCTAGGGTTTTCTTTGACTTGGAAGGTAATCTTTCAGATTAATTCTTCTTTTTATTAATGTTGGTTGAATTTGTTGAGGCTATTCACAGTAATCTTGGTTTAGGTAGTGATTTGTGAGTTATTATTGCTAATTGATGGACATGATGGTTTACATTGGGTTGATTTTTCTGTGTTTTTCTGGTAAATGATGATTGTTGATGGGCTTCTGTTACTGTAAGCTACTCCGACTTGGGTACTCGTGTCAAACATGGGTACATTTATTTTGTGAATATTTTCCCTAGGTTTGGCCCTAAATGAAATGTGAAATATGTATACCCATATCATGACTCATGAGTGTCGAGAATCTGACATGAGTACTTCTATAACATAGATTGTTAGTGCTGGTACTGTAATGATCTATCGCCTTTGGATTGTGAACCTAGGGTTTTATGTTTATTGTGGTTTAAGGCTGAAATCAAATTAGGGTTTCATTGATATACTATGGTTTTAAGACTAGTGTTTTCTATTGGTGGGAATAGGTTTGTGCATATTTTGACCTCTCAAATCTGTAACTATGGTTTGTAGGCTACTTGTGTATTCTATTGACGGGACTAGGCTCTGTAGCACTATGTTTGGAACTTTGGATAGAGAGAAATGGAGGCAAAGGAAGAGAAGAGAAAAGGAGAGATGTATCATCCTTTGTTTGGATATCTAATGCAAGGAGGGAAGGGGGGGGGGGGGAATGGAAGGATCCATTTTGAGGGCAATGTCTTGAAAAGGTTTATAGATAATTAGAACTCTTCTTATTAATGCAAAAGCACACTAACAATGTGTTTAGATAAAGAAAGGGGAAGGAAAAAAGGGGAGGGAGGAGAAGAGGAGGGAAGGGAAAGAGAGGGGAGAGAAGAATGATGAGTTTTCCTTCCAAACCTCTTCATTGTTGGAGGGATCACTTTCATTACAATTTAATCCCTCCATTTCTCTCCTCTTCAATTCCCTTTCTTCCTCATTTGTTATCCGAATGAAAGATACCCCATTTCTCTATTTCTCTTCACTCCCTTTCTCTCCATTTTCTTCAATTGAAACACACTATAATTAAGGGTGGTTTTCTCTTCTTTAGATGTGTCAATCTCATGCTTATCTATTTGGTTAAGGATCAACATCCCCAAGTTATTATTTCCTTGCATTTTTGGCATGTCTTCTGTAGGCTAATTTGAGGGGGTTCACGTACATAGTTGCATTCCCAACATTATTGAAACTTGTAATGCTGAAAATATTGAATCATTATGGAGAACTTAATGTGTTATACACTGAGCTTTTGGAGAAATAATTAGCCATTAACCCACACTGAATACCAAATCCATAAAACATAACCTCCATCCTCATCTTTTTATTGGGACAAAAAGCACCATTGTGGTTGTAGTAGCTTTTGCATGAATCCTGATTATTGTTTTTTCCCTGAGAGTTGAAAAGCAATTGTATATATCAAAAGACATATAACTTGGGAACAACAAAGAATCTTGTAGAAGTAGATGCAAATGAATGAGCTATTCAACCACTGAACACCTAATCTGAAAGAACCAGCTTATTTCTTAACGTAGATCCTTGAAGTCCTCAACTCTATGAAAAGGGCAATGTCTTTCATGTATTGCATCACATCAGTAAATTTATGTGATTGATCCATGTTGGAGAAAAACAAATTTATAGGTCCCATCCATTATTTTACATAGTTCTAGTAACCCTCAATGCCAAAATTATAAAGATACAATCTTTTAGATATTTTTGTAATCTTGGTTGGGTTTGTTTGATGGTGCACATCCCTTACTATTTGTCCTATTTAGTACTCGAGGTAGGTTATATAAAGCATCCCATGTGTTAAAGCTTTCTTAGGCAACACAGACGTGTTTTGACTAAACAGTATTAATGTTTTTTTGTTTTTTATTACCAATTTTCTTTTCCTTTGCATAAATTATAATCCCTTTGTGAATTGTGATAGTTGCAAAACAGAGGATATCTCATGTGATGGTTGTAGTCTTGCAGAGTGGAATAAGTTTGTTCCTATGGACATTTTTACTTTGCCTAGTGGCATTCCTGGCTTCTTGATTGTTTGTCATCGACTTGTGAATTATTAGTGTAGACCCAAAAATGCAGGGGGAAAAAAAAGTTTTCAGTGTAAGGGAGCAGAGTCAGCAAACAAATTATTTTTTTGTTTCTATTTGATGATAGTATTCAAGTTAATGCCGCTAGTTTTGAATATCTTAATGAATATATAACATAATTTTAGAATGCTAGTAAGATGACCTTTGAACTTTTGGTGGCATACAACTTTGAATATTGTAACTTTCGTTAATCTTACTCTTCCTATGATCAATGAATAGCTTTATATTGACCTACAACTTGTGCTGTCACATGTTTTCTTGTTATTATTAGGGGGTTTTATTATTTCTAATTTCACTTATCTGTTCTAAATGGAACTAATCTCAACATTTTGTGACTTATTTTGATTTGTATGAAAGAGATCAATGTATAACCACATACCAGTGAAGTTGCATATTGACCTAGTTGTGCCATCACTGCCATCACAAATTATCTTCCTATTGTTAGGGTGTGTTCTTGCCACCTAAGTTCACTCTTCTGAACTTATTGGAACTAACCTGAGCATTTTGTAGTAGTGACTAGTGAATAGGATTTGAGTAGCCTATATTGGAACTTATTTGAGCTTATCTCAACTTCGCGAAACTTGTTTAAACTCGTTTGAACTTATCTTAATTTTTTCTCCTCAAATGAATATATTAAGGCAAGATTAGAGTCATAGACGTTTGATGTACGTCTATACTCTAAATGGCCGTGATCCTATTTACACCAAACTTGCACGTCGTCTTCTGGAATTGCACTATTGTATAACACATATTTTTCCTTGCCGCTGATGTATCTTTTACTCCTTTGCATCCATCTGCATAGCTGCATTGTCACTTTGTATGTACTGTATTTTTTTGAAGTATGTCAAGCGTCAACAGACCTATGCTTCCTTATAAGTTTTTCTGTACATTGTTAGTGTCGCAGGTACACTGAAAATACTGTTACACATGACCTGAGCACCGGTGTTTCTTTTATTTTGATAGCACAAACAATGTCCATGTTCTGATTCCCATCTAAAACCATTTTCATTAAAAGGGGTTAGCTTAAATTAATGTTTCTTGCTCGGGATTTAGCATTTTAGCGTCCTTTGTTCACCTTGGCAGGTTGTTTTGGTAGCTCAATTGGTTTGTTGGACTGCACAGTTCCTTGGTCATGGAGTCTTTGAGGTGATCATCTCGGATATCCTGATTAGATTCTGATCAAACTATTGCTACTTAACAATCGTGTTTTCATTTTTGACAGAAACGAGCACCTGCTCTTCTGGATAATCTCGTACAAGCCTTCTTGATGGCTCCTTTCTTTGTGTTACTTGAGGTGAGCATTCATAAAATCCCTTTTAATTTGTGTTTCGAAATATTAATTAGGAAAGAAAACGATAGCTCATCCGCTCCTTTCTCCTTGCGTCACTTTTCCTAACCTCCATTAACTCCCCTCCCCTCCCCTTACCTCCTTTCTCCCTGCGTCACTTTTCCTAACCTCCATTAACTCCCCTCCCCTCCCCTTACCTCCTTTCTCCTTACGTTACTTTATCCTCTCACTTCCTCGCCTCCATTAACTGTGAACCAACTTTTAGCTCACATGATGTGGATTTTCTTTGTAGCACTAGTGGATAAGTTGATTTACCTTGTAAAAGATCTGCATACAGAGAACTAAGAATATTATATTTATTTCACAGGCCCTTCATCATTTCTTCGGGTATGAACCATATCCAGGATTTTTTGATGAGGTGAAAGTTATGGTGGATGCTGAAATTAAAGAATGGCAAGAGAAGAAACATAAGAAATCATCTTAAAAGGTCATGACTATATACAATGATCAGTGATTGTCTTTTATACAAGAATGTATATTCTAGTTGTCCTGAAAATAAATAAATGGCTAGAAAATGTGAAGTATTGAAATCTGAGAGTTTGAAACACTAATTTTATTTGCTGCAATCAAGACACTGTTAACCTGATTAAGTGAATATGACTATATGAGTATTATGTACTACTTTTACTTGATTTATTTATTTCCTAATTCATGATTAGAAAAATTGTTCACTTTTTGTTCTTTACTAAAGTTCAGTTAAAATGGCAATACTACACTACAAACAAAAATTGGATTAACCTTATTAAGACGTGTTCAGAAATTCTTGTACTACTTCCGTTAAATATTAGTTGCAATTTTAGGGCATTATTTGAACTTTGGATATTAACTATTCCAAAGTTGTAACTAATATTTAACGGAGGTAGTAGATGATATATTTAAGTAAATACTAGTAAATAGTAGTTGCTAATGACTACACCCCCCTCTAGGTAAAACTACCTAAACCCCCCTCACTAAATTACTATATAGCCCTTACCCTCCCCACTAAAAGACACACTACAACCCCTCCCCACTAATTGCACAGTACATTTTTTTTAAAAAAAAACATTTAAAATTTTTTCTCTCTCTACAACCTTCTTCATTAATTTCTCTAGATTTTATCTCTCATCAAAACCAAAAAAATTTGAACAATATCACTCTGAATTTAGGGCCTGTTTTCATACGTTGAAATTCAGTTCAGTTCAGCTCCTAATTTCCTTCTCTTATAAAATATTCATTTCAGTTCAGTCAGTTGAGTTCAGTTCAGCTGAGTTCAGTCAATGAGAATAGGCCCTTACTCCAAAATACTACAAATGTCTAACATTCGTGAAGAAAATTTTCAATTACAACAATATTTTGAGAAAAGTAACAATTTTTGTGTATATATAAACCCTAGTTTTTCAATTTTAATTTGCGATTATATGTTCTTAAACATAAGCTGCTATGATTACACTTATTTTTATGCAAAAACAGATAAAAGCTACTATATTTTGTGCTATATTCCAAATTTTCAATTTTTAGTTTACAAATTTTGCGTTACATATGTAAAAATCATAAGGAATTATGAAATTGTTTGCCATTGAAAATGATTATAGAGTATAATTATGTTAATTTTCTGAATTAGTTGAGTTTCGTAGAATTACTAATAAGATTTAAATTATTTCATTTTGAAAATGACTTTTCGGTAAATGTTCATTATGATTTTAGTATATGTTCATTTACATTCTTACTTTAGATCTACTATGGCTCATTCTTAATTAAGAAAAGATTACCAAAGTTTTGTTTATGATCTTTACATATTGATGAATGTTTACTGGTATTTAAACAAATATTTATTTGAATGTAAATGCGTACATGTTCAATCTCGTATTGAAAATATGCACATAGACTATAATAATACATGCTTAACTTCATATTATTATATGCTCATGAGCGTCATTTGAATATTATATTACATACATTTTAACTCTAATATCGATAGATGTTTATTCGAACTTGATATATAGATGTTCATTTGGATATGTGTATATTCACACATATATTAATGTATGTTCATTCACATGTTAAAAGATGTTCAAAAATAAATCACATATTATTCATTCATCATAAACCTCTGATGATTCTATTTTAAAATATAATTTAATCTTATGGTATTTTGACATATTGAATTATTATTATTAATGGTCATTTACATTTATAGATATTCATTTGATTTTTTTTTATGTATTTTCTTTTTCATATTAATTAATGTTCATTTAAAAGTTAATACATGTTCATTTATCATTCAATAAATTTTCATTTAAATTTTATACGTTTTCATTTTCATATTGAAATATTTTAATATATTTATAGTTTGTGCATTTCTGAATTTGTAATTATTATTAATGCGCAAATGTTCAATTTTGAATCCTTAGATTTAATGTACTTTTGTTTGGAATGTGTTGATATAATTTTTTTTTAAAAAAACTTGATCGATCTCTTACTATATAGGATAATCAAGTAAAGAAGTTGATGGCGACAAATATCTTGTGCTCATATTATATATTTCATGGAAAACACACACACACACACACACACATATATATATATTAGAGGTGCAACAAGGAGGATATACATATATACACTTTATTATACCAAATGTAACAAATAATGTTCATTTAACAAGACACATATGTACATTTGGTTCACTTTCATGTTTATGAAACAATTATTACATGTAATAGTATAGTTATATAGAAATGCGTTATTATTGTAATCAAATTAAATTTATTTTATATTGAAAATTATTTTTTAACAACGTTTTATTTAAATAAGTAGAATTCTAAGATGTATGTATTTGCATACATTTTACTATGATACTTACATATAGCTCTTGAAATGAACATTTGACAATACAAAAATGAATATTTGTTGAAACACGAATACACAAAAATGAACATTAGATTTTTTTTTTTGAAAGAAAGATAGAGCATATATTAATTACGAAGAGAGGTCCAATTCCGCCAGAGTAATAATGCTTTGGGGAAAAGCACTAAAACGAACAACCTCCAAACTGTCACCCGTATCACCCCTTGCAACCAAGTGGGCTACGGTATTACAACTTCTCTTCGCATGAGAAAACAAACAAACATTAAACCAAGCTCTATCTAACATAATATCATCATAGACGATGTGTATTGGGGAAAATCCCGAAGCTCTTGAAACAATTGCCTTGATCACATTTATTGCATCAGATTCCACCCATACATTTCTGTGACCAAACCTTCGAGCAAGGGTAAGAGCATACCTCACAGCCTGAGCTTCAATGCATTCCGGGGAAGAGAGTTCAGTTCTTTTTGTTGTTGTCAAAAGGAGGCCACCATTTTCATCTCGGAACACTACTCCAAGACCAGCATAGCCACTGGCAGGTACATGGGCATCAATATTTGCCTTGATGCAGCCTTGTGGGGGGGGGGGGGGGGGGGGCATAACCATCTCATGCTGCTACCAACACTTGGCTGAGGTATAGGCAAGAACACTTTCTTTGCATATTCATCATAATCACTCACCAACTTGCAAAACCCAGCAGCTAGAAGAACAAAATTAGGTGTTTCATTCTCGAAAACGATCAGGTTCCTACACCTCCATGCTGCCCACATGAGGGTTGCCATGCATTTCAAAGCCTGCCCATCCACCTTACCCTGCAGCCAGCTCCAACGTGCCAAGAAAGAATCAGTTGGAGCATCCACGAGTTGATCAGCCAAGCCACTGTGAGACCAAATTTCCGACGCAGCAGTGCAATGAAAAAGGGAATGGATTATTGTTTCCCTCTGATCACCACAGACCTGGCAGGAGGCATCCTCGCGCACGTGACGCCCCACCAACCTGTCCATAACTGCTAAGTTACCCTTCACAGCACTCCATATAAAGTGCTTAAGCTTTGGTGGCCCGCTCATTTTCCACACTGAAGACCATAGCTCCTCTGCGTGGCTGCTAACAACAACCTCATTGCCCACACTCCTTGCTAACCAATATGTTGTCTTTACCGAGAAAATCCCATTCTTTGTGTAGCTCCAGTACCTACAGTTTGCCTTATTATGCTGGGGTAATGGGGTAGAAAGAACAGCAGCTGCACTCTCATCATCAAGCAGTTCACGCACCTTAGCAGCATCCCAACATAAAGCCCCATCAACCATAAGATCCCTAACCAGCATACCATCATCAACCCCAGCAGGTCGAAGTAGAACAGAAGGTCGCCCATCCTTAACTAGCCATGCATCCGACCAAACTTTAATGTCTATTCCGTTACCCACCCTCCACACCATGTCATCCCTTAGCAGACCCTTAGCACCCCAAATGCTTCTCTACGAATAACTTGGGTCATGACCCCTCAAGGCATCCATCACCGATGAATTTTTAAAATACCTAGCCTTAAGTATTTTAAAAATTAGAGAATTTTGATTCGAGTGTAGTCTCCAAACCTGTTTAGCTAACAAAGCTTGATTGAAACATTTTAGATCCCGAAATCCCAATCCCCCTTTTGCCTTCGGTAAGCATAATCTCTCCCAACTTTTCCAATGCATTTTCCTCTGGTCCACCGTCGACCCCCACCAAAATCTACACAATAACTTGTGAATTTCATCAATAAGGCCCTCCGGGATCTTGAACATACTCATAATGTAAGTCGGAATTGCTTGAGCTACCGCTTTGATCAACACCTCCTTACCCTGTCTTGACAACAATTTTTCCTTCCAACTGCTTAATTTCTTCCAATTCCTCTCTTTCAAGAAAGCAAAGATGGCCTTTTTGGACTTCCCTATGATCGTCGGCAACCCCAAGTACTTCTCATGTCTGTCTACTTCGCGAACCCCTAAAGTATCAACAATCTCTTGTCTTCTTTCGATGGAAACACACTTACTAAAAGCAACTTCTGTTTTGTCTAAATTGACTTTCTGGCCAGATGCTCTTTCATACACCCTGGTTATATCAGCAATTTTCGAGCATTCCTGCAGAGTAGCTTTTGCAAACAAAATACTATCATCGGCGAAAAACAAGTGAGACACCCTAGGAGCAGCTTTGCATATTCTCGCCCCTCTCAATTTCTTCTCATGAGCGGCCTTTGAAAGTAGACAAGAAAAAGCATCCGCACATAATAGAAATAAATAAGGAGAAATCGGATCCCCTTGTCGAAGACCTCGAGATGGAGCCACCGAACCAAAAATCTCATCATTCACCTTAAAAGGGAAAGACACACTGGAAATACACTCCATAACCCGACGGATCCACAACTCCGAAAAACCCATCTTACACATAACCATCTTTAGAAAACTCCACTCCACTCTATCGTACGCCTTGCTCATGTCCAATTTTAGGGCCACAGTTCCATCTCTCCCTTCACCTCCCCGCTTCATTGAGTGAAAAATCTCAAAAACAATCATGGCATTGTCAGTTATCAACCTTCTCGGAATAAAAGCACTTTGGTTCACAGAAATAATATCATTAAGAAATGGCTTAAGTTTGTTGGCCAAAGTCTTTGGTATTATCTTATATATCACATTACATCAGCTAATCGGTCTAAATTCAGTCATATACTTCGGGTCATTACATTTAGGAATTAACACAATGCAAGTCTTATTAATATCTGAAATATCAACTAAACCCTTCCACCAATTTTTCACCAAAGTAACAATATCGGGGCCTATAATATGCCAAAATTTTTGAAAAAATAGAGCATGCATACCATCTGTTCCTGGGGCTTTGTTAGGGTGCATTTGAAAAAGAGCATTTTTTATTTCCTCCGAACTTGGCACCGAACACATCACATTGTTCATATCATCAGATACGACCCGTTCCACGCCCTCCAGAGCTGTTGCAAAATCAGTAGGGTTGTCTGTAGAAAAGAGCGACCCAAAGTACTCTGAGATAATGCTCCTAATCTGCCCCTCATCAGTGCGCCACTCCCCACTCAAATCGAACAAACCATCTATGCGGTTTTTCTTTTTCCGTTGACTTGCTTTCCTGTGAAAATAAGCCGTATTTTTATCTCCATCCCGCATTTCGTTTGCCCGAGACCTTGTGTACCAGTATGACTCCTCCATTCTTCGAAGCTCATTAATTTCCTCCGCCAATTTTTCACAAGTATCCAGCATCCTTGCGTCAATTTGAGCACCTTGAGCCTCCTGTAGAGCAGCCTCACACTTGCTGATTTTTTTCTTTAACTCTCCGAAAGATTTTGTAGCCCACTTAGTTAGCTGCTTAGCACACAAAGCAATACGTTGATGTGGCGCACACCCCTCCCCCTCTTTCCACGCCTTCGAGACAGTTTCCGTGCACTCTTCTTTTGATAGCCACATAGCCTCGAAACGGAATAATCTCCTTTTTCTCCCCCTCTCATAATAATTGATAGTGTCAAGCAAAATGGGAGTGTGGTCCGAAGCTACTCTTGCCAAGTGTTGCACTGAAAAATCCGGAAAAAGATTACACCACCCATCATTACCCAAAAACCTATCCAAGCGTTCTCTTACCACCGTATCAAGATACTTCCCACGTTGTCATGTGAAGATGCACCCCTTATAGCCAAGATCTCGTAGACCACAATCATCAATTGCATTGCGAAAACTATCCATCAAACTCTCTCTGCGGATTGCACCTCCATCTTTTTCCGACATACTAACTATCTCATTAAAATCACCGAACATAACAAGAGGGATATTCCCCGAATTTTTGAGGTTTCGCATTAAATCCCAAGTCTTATGTTTATTTTCCGCCTTAGGCCAACCGTAAATACCCATAGCACACCACAGCGGAATACCATCACTACTACACACATTGGCTGCAAAATGGTTAGTGGAGAAAGATAACATGGTGACATTCAACTCCCTCCACCAAAAACACATACCACCCGACCGACCCGTACTACTAAGACAAATCCCATTCTCAAAACCACATCGTCTTTTAATTCTCTCCATAACACTACTATCTATTATAGTCTCCATTAGAAAGACTACATTCGGCCTCTCTCTCCAACATAAATCTCGGAGAGTCCTTTCCGCGCGTCCATGGGTTGCCAATCCCATAGACGTTCCAACTCAAGATTTTCAATTCTGTTCGAGGGTCTGGTTATGACCAAAACCCTCTACTTGGATAACACTGTCCCTAGTTTGAGCTAGAACATTTTTTTTCCTCTTTTTTTCGTCCACCATCATTGACTTTCCACTCCCTTCATTCTCCATAATAGATGAGGCCCTCTTTTTTGATCCCCCCTCCCCTGCCAACATCCCACCTATCCCACTACCCTCCCCTGCATACCCTTCTTCCATTCTTTCTATTCTTTTCCACCCCTTAGATGCCTTCCCCTTTACATTTACTCCCTCCTTCACCACCCCCATCCCCTTATCTCGACCCTCCCACCCCATGAGTTCCCCACCTCCTAGCACCTCTTCACTCCCCCCCTGTACAGCACTTCCCATATCCCCTCCCTCCCCATTCCTCTTACCCTCACCTACTACACTGTCCCCAACATGCAACACACCCCCTCCTGCTCAACTCCTTCATCAGCATCATTCACATATTTTTGTGGTCGCAAGACCTGTTTGTTTTTCTGAACATCAAGAACCAATGCCAGGCTAGCCTCTCGCCTTTTAGGTTGAGTAACAGGGCTGCTATCATTATGTTTAGAAAAGTGAAGCTTACGAGCCACACTCACCGGACCAAGCCTCACAGTTTGCTTAGCAGGTGCAATGCAGCCACCCCTTCGAATCACATCCAACTTCTCCCCCCAAACTCTTTCTTTTTCACGAGCTGCATAATTCTTCTCAGTTTACTTGAGTGGAGAAGCCCTCATCCAAGAGCCATACTGATACACAACTGTGCTCGTAGCCTCCCTCTCCAGCTCCTTGGTTTCACACTCCTTGTCCGTATGATCGATCCTTCACAGTAAAAGCAAAAGTCCCCAAGCCTTTCATATTTAATATCCACCCATTTTGATGTCGACCCTCCCGTAGCAATGAAAACACCCCTTCTCAAAGGCTTCCTGATATCAATCATAATCTTCAGTCTCATGAATTCGCCCCATCCAAGCGGATCCGAGTCATCAAAATCGATAAAACCACCAAGAGCTTCGCCAATGTTAAACATTGTCGAGTGATTTCTTCTATTAAAAGGCACGTCAAATAATCGAATCCAAATTGGTGATTTATCAAAAACTACCTCCGAAGGCTGCTCCTCACCTTGAACCGCCTTTAGCACAAGCAATTTGCCATCAAAGAACCATGGACTCCCCTCCAATATTCTTTCCTTGTCAGCGTCATTAAAGAATTGAAAGACAAACAAATTTGTCTCCACCATTCGAATTGCAATATTGTCATTAAGGCGCCATACATTCGTCAAGGTCCGTTTCATGGCTTCAACATTGAAGGTTCGAACAGTCCATAATTTACCTACTAACACCAGTCGGAGTTGATCCTTCGATGCCTCCTCCTCTTCGATTTCTCCGGTTCCCCCAATAACAGCATTCTCATCATCTGTCAGTTTAAATTTTTCCCAGTCTCTAATCAAATCTGCTTTCATGGTGTCTTTAATGTCTTATGAGCACACAGAGCAATCTAATTAACAGGAAATTCGATCGAAAAAGCAATACTACAAGAGAAAAAAAAAAACCACTATCCCTATACGAGGGACCACGAAACCCTAGGCGAGGGACATTTGCAATTCTGATTTACTCTCGGTTGTTAAAAATGAACATTAGATGATGCAATACTTCTTATAATAAAAATAATTTGAATACAATAATTCTTATAAATAATTTTTCTCTCATTTTTATTTATAGAAAATTCTTAAAATTCATTCAGAAAATATATTAATTTGAACAAAAATACCTTGTCATAAAAATGAACATCTAAATGATACATAAATGAACATTTACCAATACAAAAATGAAGTTATAAAAATTTGCAGGAAATTCATTAATGAAAAGGGGTGGGGGCAGGACACGCGCGGAGGGTTGGGGGGTGGGGGCAGGACAAGCGCGGAGGGTTGGGGGGGGGGGGCAGGACACGTGTGGAGGGTTGGGGGGGTGCAAATAGTGTGTATGAAATAATTTGTAAGTAAATAGGGTTGAAACTTTGAATTGAATTATATGGGCCCAAGTTGATATTTTCAATGAATGGGCTGTTCTAGGGCGATCAAGTTGGGCCTTTTTCTTCGTTTTGCTGCTTTTCTCCCTTGAGTAAATCCAATTGTTGAAAGGTTATCAAATCCTTTTTTTTTTTAAGTATGTGATGAATGATACTACCTATTTTTATTGTTGACGTATTCCTTTTTGAAAAGTTTATTTTAAATTGACTTGACTACAAACTTCATTAAATATGCTAAACACATGGTCTATCTGCTTGTTTTAGCAAATTTTTTTCTCTCCTTTAAGTTTGTGCCTAAATTGATTGTGTCATCTAAAACAAACATAGAAAGTAATTAAAAAAAAAAAAGTTATAAGAAGATTGAGTTATATGTCAAATGTAATGACTCGGGACAATTCCCGAACCCAGCCAAATACTAGTTCTTTATTCAAATGTAGTACGGGGTATGTGTTTGGTACAACAAAGGTATAGTATAAAGTATATTATATACAGCAACAAAGTGAATGGACAAAGCAATGTGAGATGATTCCCCCACACTTTGACGAACATTTAACATGGGTACAACCTTCCAATAGTAGGCATTTTGCTCCAATATGCTGAGGATCATCACTTGGGCTTTCAGCAATAGCACTAGCACTAGCACTTACACTAATTCCTGCAGGTAAAAGTACTGATTATTTGTAATCAAATACAGCACGAAATTATTTAATTAACATATAAATAAGTAATAAATTCTGCACTATAAGAGTGTGCATTTATGTTTACATGCAAATAAAGAAAAATGTAAATTGTTTTTTTTTTTAAAAAAAAATATTAAATTTACATGTAATAGACTTGAAATTTTGAGTGATTACAAATGATATTCTTACGTTAAGAAAGAATAAAACACTTACCACAAAACAGAATGACTAGTAACATTAACATGAGAGGGATAAATGATATCTTTCCGGCCATTGTTTGGATACTTTTTTATAATTATAATTAGAAATTGAGAAGATGGAGAATTTATTTATCAAATGATAGATGGAGTTGTGAGCAAATTGTTTAAGCTATTGGCTACTTATACTACTTACTAGATACTAGTATGTCTCTCATTATCTAATTAAATATGCAATATCATTTTGGATCTTTAACAAGTGAGGATCAATAATTTAAATCAGAATTGATTTCTTAATTACCAATTTGGTCTTTGTATCTAGATAGTTACTTATTTCTTGTAAATCTCTCATGATCTAATTAAATATGAATGTGATTTTCTTCCAAGTTTATGAATTAACCCACATTTCTTAATTACCAATTTGATCTTTATATCTAAATATATAGTTACATATTCTTATAATACTTTTGAAATTAAAGTGCTTAGACATTCAATTGAGTATACCCAAGCTTAAGACATGTTCTCTTCCACTTAAATAAAATAATGCATTTTGAACTATGGCTTAGGTTCACTCAGCATCATGTACTTTAATTATATAGTAGCCAAATACAACAAACTAATGATTTGGGTCCAAAGCATGACTTTTGTGAACTTTCCGGCAAACCATTCTCGGGCGAAGCCAACAAACCTTCCATTTTTTTAATATAATTAAATTTTTATTTTTCATTATACATGCTGAAAATGTGCCGATAGGGTTTAGGAGTCATTTTGGCTCTTAAGAGTGGTAATTGAGCTCAAAAAAAGAAAAAAAATATAACGTAAATGACTCGTTTTGCTTGTCATAAAACATCTCGAATTGCGTGTCATTTGAGTTCACTCGAGTTTCTTTTCAAGGTGTTCAGTATATTAGCATTTTGGATGAGACACTATACCAACTTGCCAAGCACGAGTGGTATAGTATCCAAATTGATTGCTCAAACAAATGCAAGTCGATACAACCATAACAGCTAACAAAAATAAGCTCACTTGGAAATCACAAAAGCCTGGGCATTGTGAGGGTCTATTCTGATTTATTGAGCTGAACTGAACGAACTAAATAGAAGTAAGCTGAACTAAATTGTTTATGAGAGAAGGAAATACGGAATTGAGCTGAAATGAATGGAACTGAGGTGAATTGAATTTAGAGAAGGAAATTAGGAACTAGACTGAAATTGAGTGGCAGAGAATTGGTCCTGAGTGCAATCACGGTTTAAATGCTTGAAGATGAATTGTCGATCAATGGATAAGGTATATATACTTTGTATATATTTTTTATTTATTAACACGGTAAGGTCAATTGAGC